TGATATACAGCACCTGCTGGGATGGCCATCTTAAACATCTTCATGAGGTCTTTCAGATACTACAACAAGCGCAGCTATACCTTAAACCCTCAAAGTGCACGTTCGAAGCTACTGTCATCGAGTACTTGGACAACTTTATCTCTGCATAGGGTGTGAGCACTGATCCAAGCAAGATACAAACCATTGCGCAATGGCCTACTCCTACCTCCCAGAAACACCTACGCAGCTTCCTTGGTTTAGCCAACAACTATCGTCGATTTATCAAGTGCTACAGCATTGTTGCAAGGCGACTGGCATCCCTACTTAAGAAAGACGGCTTCTCTTGGGGTGTTGAAGCAGAGACCTCTTTCATACACCTCAAATCTGCGTTGTCAACCACTCTCGTTCTAGCTCTACCAAACTTCAACAAGACTTTTGTGGTAGAAACTGACGCCTCAAACATGGGTATCAGTGCGGTTCTAATGCAGGAAAACCACCCTATTTGCTATATCAGCAGAGCCCTCGGACTACGACATCAAGCGCTCTTGGTGTATGAAAAAGAGCTTCTTGCAGTGGTACATGTGGTGCAGTCCTGGAATGCCTATCTTACTCATAAGCCATTCATTGTTAAAACCGATCAGAAGAGCCTGAAATTTCTGATGGAGCAGAAGATAACCACACCTTTCCAACACATGTGGTTATCAAAACTCATGGGTTATACCTTTGAGATACAATACAAGCAAGGGAAGGAAAACGTTGCTGCTGACGCGCTATCAAGAGTCTCGGGCTCACAACTCCTGCACATAACACTATCTCAGTCCCACCACGGCTTCTATGACACACTCAGACTCTTATGGGAGACAGATCCCAACCTCCGGAAAGTCATCTCTGAGTTAAAGTCAGGTACAACAAAACACCATACTTTCAGTTTTACTAATGATGAATTGCGCAGAAGAAGAAAACTTGTGGTGGGAAATGACTCAGAGGTGAAGCTCCACATTTTGCGATGGTTACATGACTCTGCAGTTGGTGGTCATTCTGGACGAGATGCTACTTTGCAGCGTGTGAAGTCATTGTTCTATTGGCATAGCATGAATGTGGAAATACAACGCTACATCAGAAATTGCTTAGTTTGTCAGAAGAACAAGAATGATCAAGCTGCTAAACCAGGCCTCTTACAACCCTTACATGTTCCTAATGGCGTTTGGGAGTCAATAAGCATGGACTTTATTGAGGGTCTTCCTCCTTCCAGTGGAAAACATTGCATCATGGTCGTTGTTGACAGGCTAAGTAAGAACGCCCACTTCCTCGCACTGTCACATCCCTACACGGCTATTGAGGTCGCTCAGGTATACCTTGATAACATCTTTAAACTCCATGGTATGCCAAGGGATATTGTCAGTGACTAAGATCCTACCTTCATAAGCGACGTATGGAAGAAGCTATTTCGCATGCAAGGTGTCGATTTGAGACAGTCCACGGCCTACCATCCACAGACGAACGGCCAGACTGAAGCAACAAACAAGACACTCGAGACCTATCTTCGTTGCATGACAGCTGAAACACCACAGTCTTGGAGTAAATGGTTACCTTTAGCTGAGTAGTGGTACAACACAACCAACCACTCCTCTATCAAGAGCACTCCTTACAAGATTATATAATGGTCAGCCCCCTTCAACCCATATCCCTTATCATCCCGGTGAAAGCTCATCTGCTATAGTAGACTGAAGTACGCAGAAACGTGAAGAAATCTTAAACATGCTGAAGTTCCACCTCATTCGAGCTCAGAACCGTATGAAGCAATCAGCTGATTCTCATCGCTCTCACAGGGAGTTTACTGTCGGGGATCATGTCTTTTTGAAGTTACAGCCATATAAACAACACTCCCTTAAGAATAGAAACGTCCCCCACAAGCTCTTACCTTGCTTCTGTGGTCCGTTTCGTGTGCTGGAGAAAGTCGGTTCAGTGGCTTACAAACTTGATCTTCCTGCTACAGCTGCTATTCACCACACGTTCCATGTCAGTCAGTTGAAACTGTGTCCCAACCCACCTTCTGAAACCTTGACATTACTTCAGTACTATCAGGATTTGGGAACAACTAAGGAACCAGACTGTATTCTGGAAAAAAGATGGTAAAACACCGTAACACCGCAGTCACTAAGGTACTCGTGCAGTGAAAAGGTCAAAGTCCAGAACAGGTTACATGGGAATTCTACCAGGATTTCATCACCAAATTTCCAAACTTTGATCCTTGAGGACAAGGATGTTCTGAGAAGCAGAGTAGTGTGACAGTCATGTAAGCTATCTCACCAAACCGGTCTGGTTTGTTTCTATTTCAGTTTTTCCAATTTTGGTTTAATAATATCTGGGGTTTTGTCCCATGCTACTTTATCTTTTACGGAGCCAGCTAATGAGTCACTATGACCGTTAGAAACTTAGATACCTCCCTTTATGTATTAATTGACTGCTTTTGCAGAAAAATAATCAGAAAAACATTTTTATCTTATCATCAACTATCTTTCTCTCGCTTAAGCTTATTGAGCAAGAAACTTTATCATAGAAATCTTGTTCTTTCAAGGTGATTATTCATCCATATCACTTTCTAGGTTTGATTTCTCCCTTCTTAAGCTCTTGGTGAGTTCTAAATTGGGATTTATTACTATGTTTTAACACTACAGTCACAATTATTTTAAAATTTCAACTTTTGTATGTAAAAACAACAAAAATTCGAAAGCTCATATGGTAAAACGTAGTTTGTGCACCCCTGTTTTCCCAAGTTCCATCCCTCTTATATGATTTTTTATTTTTATTATCAAAAGTGCACCCATAATTTAAATTGTCTGGCTTCCCCCCTGCCCACATCCCACGTTCATCTCTGACTTTTCTTTTTGAGTTTTCAATACTCTAATCATGTTCATGCTCATGTTCATATACTCTAATCATGTTCATGCTCATGTTCGTATTAATATCTACATGATAGTAATACGAAACGTTATAGGAAAACAGAATCCAACTGAATTTGTTATATATTTTTTTTTAAAGACCATTAAATTCTCTAATAATATCCATTAAGTAGTAATACCCACGTAGTAATTACAAGACCGACCTTAGCTCAGTTGGTAGAGCGGAAGACTGTAGTTGTTGCTGTAATCTTTAGGTCGCTGGTTCGATTCCGGCAGGTCGGACTTTTTTTGCATTTCAACTTTTTTTTTCCTCAGCTGCTATTCCTTAACAATTTAATGCTATAGTTTTTTCATCATGTATTTATTTCTTAAAATCTACCAATCGACATCATGTATGTTTCATGTACTTTCACAAACACCTCTATTCACCATCCGTGCAACAAACAAAAAAAATGTCAAATCTAATTGTTTGGTTAATCTAACACTACTATAAGAGTTCAGTTGCAACAAAAAAAAAACATAACTAAGAGTAACACATTTGTAATCTACAAGGAACAAGTTCTACCTTTTTCCTTTTCATCAAGATTCGTTCCTAAGAAGCTGCAATCTATCATCTGTTAAGAGACCCGAGCAGAGTGTAACCATTCATATTAGCGTACTTCACGTCTTGAAGCGGATGATGACTTGCCAATGAGAACCGTTGAGAGACGGTAAAAGTCTGACGGATCTTGCAAGATGAGCTGGCGAGTCGACTCCTCGCAAGATGAGCTGGCGAGTCGACTCCTCGCAAGATGCAAAAAGCTGCTTCCTAGTTCCTTCCCTCCCTCACCAAAGTCTATAATCGCTGTGTCTTGGCAAACGGATGGTATCTACGGAAGCATGCATGTGTGGATGAAAGTTTCTGATAATAAGAATCAGCACATCGTCTCTTGAGACAAACATGGAGTCCATCTACACCGCTGGTATGATCGCTACGAGGACAATATGAGGAGGAAATGCAAACTCCTGTAGAAGTTTTAGAGAAAAAAAAAGGAACTAAAAACATGATTGGCTTTAAAATAACTTGGGAAAATTCCATATAAATACCCCAACTAAATTTTATTAAACTTTTTAATATCCAAACTTTTTCACTACCCAGTTTAAAACCTCAACTAATTATTCTGTCCACTTTAATACATCAACTTTTATAACTGTATCCATTTTAATACTCAAACTTTGTTTATTTTAATTAACAATACTAATAAGTTTCCAATGAAATTTTAAAAATGTCTAAACTTCACAAAAAATTAATTTTATTATATGTTTGAGTAACGAAATTAAATAATTTTTTTATAATCTTAAGTTTTGTAATAAGTTTTTTAAGTTTTATATATTGAATTTAGTTTGTTTTTTTTAAATAAAAAGTAAATTATTTTTTTTCCTTCAAAAACTTTTTTTTTAAAACATTAAATTTTCTACAGAGTTTGTTTACCTTATTTCTTAAATCTTCAAATAAACTTAGAAAATTTAAATATTTTTTCTTAGATTTTGGAGACTTTTAAAAATTTCGTTTGAAATTTATTAGTATTGTTAATTAAAATAAACAAAGTTTGAGTATTAAAATAGATACAGTTATAAAAGTTGGTGTATTAAAATGGGCAGAATAATTAGTTGAGGTATTAAACTGAGTAGTGAAAAAGTTTGGGTATTAAAAGCTTAATAGAATTTAGTTGGGGTATTTATATGGAATTTTCCCAAATAACTGTGGTTATTATGTAAAGAAAGTCTCCTTTTGTGCCAATCGTAGCCTCTGTTTTATTTTTATTTTTTTGTAATTGAGTAAATATTACGCAGCTCTCATATTCCTTCTTTTTTTTTTTGAACTTATCATATTACCATTTTTGCGTTCTCTTTAATGTAAAAAAAAACTACAGTATAGGGTTATATGTGTAGTTGTATTCAATTATGAAATAAATTTTTGATAATGATTTTCCATCCATGCAAAAATTTAAGTTACTATATAATACTGTTGCAATCCGCTCTTTATTTAACCGATCAAAATTTGTGACTTTTCTCTCATCCCGTCCGCGGCCAGAACCCTAATTTAGTTTCTTCTCCTCCAAGTCTCAAACGATCATCATGTCATCCGGACCAGGCATAGAAATCAGTAAGTTGTTCTCCCTTTGTCTTTCTTTTGAGATGAGATTGTCTCTCTCTCTGTCTACATATATCACTCTAAAAACTGTAAATTGTGATAAACTAATCAAATTGGTATCCGACACAGCTGGTGACACACGTGTGTTTTGGGACGAAGATACTTTATCAATTGCTGGTGCTTTCAATCCGTTTCATGTGAGAGTTAATTTAACCGCTGCTCTTGCTAAGAAGAATATCCATGGTTTTCTTGAGCTCAATTACTATTGTGACAAGAATATACCCATCCCAGATTCGTCCACGCAAGAGAAATCCAGATTCCACTTCTATCCTGACGATGGTAAGTAAATATTCTCCCTTTTTTTAACATTTTTTTTTTTGTTTGGGTGATGCAATGATTGACATTTATCTTTTGTTGATTTGATATAGAACCAGATTCAGTTGGGAAAACTCTGAGGTCAAAAATTATGTTGACTCGCATTCTTTTATGGGCATTCGACTTCAATCCTGCGAACAAAGAAGGACCAGCTAATTTGATGATTGTCTCAAACTCCGTCCCACAAGATCCTGAGATGATCAGAGTTCTTCAGGCTTTGAGAAAGAGAAACTTCTCTATTCTCTTAGTACGCTCGGATAAGCTGGACAACGTCGAGTATGCTGATACAGGAGATCTCCCCGTGGAAAACTTTGATTGGCTTTGGGGAAGTCTCATCTTTGGTGATAAGCCTTTCATCGACCCATGTGAAACCCGTGCTGGTTCTGTCTTTTGTAGCGGCTGCCATGCCAAAGTTTCAATAATCACTGAAGATGAAGATGAAGATGAATAAGAAGAAGCTCTTGCACACCAAAATAGAAGCGAAAGGTGAAGGAGCAGAAGATGAAACTGTTGCAAAGAAGAAGAAGCACAGCAGGAAGCATATGTTTGTTCTGTTGAAACTGTGTTTTGGTTTGGTTTGCCTTTGTTGTTCTGTTGAAACTCTGTTTTGGGTTTAAAAGGATCCATTTTTCATCAGTGTAGGTTTTAGAGCTCTGTTCGTCCTAAATATGATGCATATTTCAGTTTCTTAAGAGGACACTATTTGAAATCCGAGATAGAGATGAACGTTATGTGCAGTGTGTTCAGGGTCTAGAGCTTGTTTTACAAAACGACAATGTCGCAAGTTATAAATCCATACGTGTCATGATATTAAATGTATTTTCCACAGTTGCTATTTCTTAACAATTTAATGCTATAGTATTTTCATCATGTATTTATTTCTTAAATATCCACCAATGATTCAAAAGATTATAATTAAGCAACTCGTATTTACAACTACATTGTCAGCAATTTATCCATGACACACATATAAGTATTGGCTACTTTGATTGCACCTAAGACCAAAAGATAGATACAAACGATGGAGAAGTCAGCCGCTTTACATGTATGTTCATGTACTTTCACAAACACCTCTATTCACCATCCCTCCAACAAACAAAAAAAAAGCAAATCTAATGGTTTGGTTAATCTGCAAGTAACATAACTAACGAGTAACACATTTGTAATCTACAGGGAACAAGTTCTACCTTTTTCCTTTTCATCAAGATTCGTTCCTAAGAAGCTGCAATCTATCATCGGTTAAGAGACCAAGCAGAGTGTAACCATTCATATTAGCGTATTTCACGTCTTGAAGCGGATTATGACTTGCCAATGAGAACCGTTGAGAGACGGTAAAAGTCGAAGGATCTTGCAAGATGAGCTGGCGAGTGGACTCCTCACAAGATGCAAAAAGCTGCTTCCTTCCTCCCTCACCAAAGTCTATAATCGCTGTTCTTGGCAAACGGATGGTATCTACGGAAGCATGTGTGGATGAAAGTTTCTGATAATAAGAATCAGCACTTCGTCTCTTGAGACAAACATGGAGTCCATCTACACCGATGGTATTAACTCCTGTTTGGGTCAACGTAGGCTGAGTAGAGACGTTATCATCAGAAGATCCAACTCTTGGTCTATAAGAAGCAACTACATGATCGCTACGAGGACAATATGAGGAGGAAATGCAAACTCCTGGGTTTCCAGTTTCAGAAACCAGTGATGGTCTAAACAAACAAAAGAAGAAAAAAAAATGCATTGATAAAGCTTCTTACGCAATTGCATCCATGTGAAAGAAGCACAGAATCTCACCTTCCCTCGCTACCATCAATGTTCCACTGACAAAGCCCGATGGAAGAAGCGGACAAGAGACAACATACGTCAGCGGTTGGGGTGGAGTTGGGGGAGAGATGATGGATAGTATGAACTGGATTGCTTGTTAAGCCAGTAAACGATGCCAATGGTCCCATAGTTTGACGCATGTCAAACATTAAAACCATTCCGTTCTGCAAAGAAGAAACGTTAGGAGAGGCAGGTAAGTGGAATTTCAGAAGGAACGACCAAACCAAAGAAAATGATTAAACCTGTAGTCCAGTATAAATATGGTGAGAGCTGTTGCGATCCCAAGAACAAGACCAAGGTGCAGCCTACAAGACAACTATCTAGGTTAATACAATCATTTCAAAGCAAATCTTTTCATTGAGACTTTGGGTTGTTGACGAAAACAGCATTGGAAAGTCACAAATTCAAATTGAGTGAAGATCACAAGTTAAGACAACGACACTCGAGTGTAGCTTAAGAAAGTATAATCCTAGAAGTAAAGATCACAAAGATATAATCCTCTCAAATCATATTCAAATAAAATTTCATAAAAGATGTCAAAAGACTGTAGCTAAGTAGCTTACCGGTAGATCATAAGATAAGACAGTGTTGTGGCTCTCCAAGCTGAAAAAGTGAATAGTTAGATAATTAGGACAAGAAGGAAATTATCACGGGAATGAAAGAACCCTGAAAAGTAATGTTCAAACCTTATAACAGATAACTTTTTTCCTAGAGAGCCGAACACTGCAAGCCCATTATTGTGTGGGGAAATGTGAAGATCTTTTATTGCTCTAGTGGTAGGAGGCAGCATAATATCATCGATCTCACCCGAATGTAAGCTCATCTAACATATATTATTGAATAAGATCATATAATTGCTTCACTAAAACTAGTGTAAGATCAAAATTAAGAGGCCAAGAATAACAAACTTACTTGTGAAAGCACAAAAGTTCCCCCAACGCCTGAGAGCCTACGAGCCAATAACAAAATCTGTCTACCACCATCTATGTCAAATAAACGGCCACCATTAACTAGCCGTTCTCCCTACCGAAAAAAAATGGATGAAAATACATCAGACACATAAAAGACAAACTATACTACAGCCAAAAGTTCTAAAACAATGGGGCTAAGATAGAACACCTGATGCCTGAAGCTGCAAGAAAGTGCATGCCCATTCTGTTCTTGGTAGATCGTCTTACCTACATATATCCCCTTACAAATATTTAGATAGATATTTGCATTATATTTCAAGAAAAACAAAATAAAAAATTATTCTACTTCAAGATAAACCTTTACTGTTTGGATATTGAAATACCCTAAGGTCGGAGTGGAAACAATTGCAAGACAGCCTATCAATTCTATGCAATCAATGGAGATTTAAATATCCCACTGAGACAATTCATTTTTAAAAAAATGATGTAAGCATAGAAGACGAAACAAAGGAATTTAGCTTACACAGAGAAGGCAATCATACAACGTATGATAAAGTGATTTGATGGTAAAAAAGCTGTATATGTTGCAACCATGAAGCATGTTATTTTGTAATTACCAGGTATATATTTCTCTTGAGAAGGCACGGTAGACTCTCTCAGTTCACCATTAGTCGTGCTTTCCATATGAGCTATCCTCTGCAAAAAACAAAGTTTCCATCCTTGAACTAAACTAAAAGAGAAACAAGTGCCAAGAGTGACCAATTGAACATGTTACAACAAACTCTAAGACTGTACCTTTTTCAGCTTATTAACTTCTGATCGTAGCTCTGCTTCTTTTTTTCTCCATTGAGCTTCTTTTCTACTCCAACTAGTAGTCTAGACGACATTTAAGAATAGAGAGTTAAAACTCTACGATACTAGTACAAAGTGCTACACACATATGTTACTATCAAATGACACAAGCCATGACCAACATAGATGACATAATAAAGAGGTATTGGTATTCAGGTAAGAATTTAAAGAACTAAGCTCAGAATAGTACAGATACTAATCATGAAACAATAATGTGTCTTACCCTCTGTTCGATTGAATTTAATTTACCCTCGAGGAATAAGATTCTCTGTGAGAACATAAGAAAAAGAAAAAAAAGGCGAACATCAGATTTTGGTACCGTGATTTGCTTCCAATGTATATAAATATATCTTAGAAAACCACTCAATATCAAACCTTATGTGCGTCATCATCTACAGCAGCGATCCTTGATGCAAAGATTTTCCGGACATCTCTGAGACTACATGTTCTGTTACATTGGGGACACTACAAAAGAATCCAACGTGACCCAATGAGAAAAGATAATGTATCATCAATAACACAGCAAAAGGGTGTGGAAAAGCACATAACAACACACGCACCTTTCCTCCACTACGTGGCTGCTTTAACCACTTCTTGATGCAAGAAAATCCATACAAATGTCCACAAGGAAGACAGCTTGAATCGCCAGTAAAAAAAAAATAAACAAAAGGGAAGTATAAGAGTTTCACTTAGCAATCAAATCTAAGCAGTTGAGAATTTTGATTGAAGAGAATCTTCATACACCCTTGACTACACTACGCTATTCATATTCCCAGTAGCAAATTAGAGTCTTAAATTATCTAATTAATGGCGTAATTTTATTCAAACAATCAGTGCGAATCTGAGTAATATATACCAGACTTGATGTTCGCCGCCGTTAGTCCAAACTTCCATACAAATCAAACAAGATGTTCCCTCAGTCTCGCTAGGTTTCCATACCACATCTTCCTCCTGCGATCCTGAAGTCGAACAAACTCCTCCTTCTGACCTTCTCTGCTTCTCTTCACTCTCGTTCTGAGAAGCCCTAGGAGGAGTGCGTACTCTGGTTTGGCTTTCTGCTTCTTCTTCCTCGTCCTCGTCTTCATCTTCCTCTTCTTCGGTGTCTTCTGCTTCTTCGTCTGCGTCGTCGTATTCGTCTTCATCAGGTTCATCGTACTCTTCGATTGTTATCCCGCCACCTCTGAAGGCGTATCGCCGGCGGGGCGGCATTTAGGGCAAAATCCGAAACTGAGCGCCAAACGAAGGAGGAGACCAAAAGTTCGCGCTGAGTACTTTCTTCTTCTGAGATCTCGGAGAAATAAACATCATGGGGATTGGGATATATACACATTCTTAGATAGCATTATAGACTCGCTGGATGAGATAGAGTTTCTCTTATTCAGAAAATTTAAATTACGTTTTTGAGGCAGAACAAACCCGCTGAATGGTTTAGAGTGTCTCTTTACGATTAAAAAAAATTAAAAATATATGCGGTGAGCGTGGATCGAACACGCGACCTTCAGATCTTCAGTCTGACGCTCTCCCAACTGAGCTATCCCCGCTTGTTGTTAAATGGTTATATTACATTTAATTAAACACTATGTTTCGATTAAATATACACACCGTTCAACCTTTTGACTCGGTGGAGAGTTTGCTTTCATTATATGTTTTTTTTTGAGTCTAATAAAGCAAAGGTACGACGACTTCGAAGAAAGCAGACGAAAATTTTGATCTCTCTCTATTCTGCGATTCATCTTTTGTCGAAATTCCCAATTCACAGAGTCCACAACCCTAATTTCAATATGGTAAGAATAAGATTTGTTCATTTTGGTGTCTTTCCGGATCTAACCTCTCCAATTCTTTCGGATTCTATTTCGGATCTTTGTCTGAATCGATGATGATTATTCAATTCCACAGGTTTGCGTTTTCTGTTTGGTGCCTCTGTTCCTCGTCCCGCTCGTCAATTTACTCCCTCGTATCATCGATTTCTTAATGGTAATACAATCGTGCTTCGTTGATAATATTACAAAGTTGGGTTAAGCAATGCCAGTGAATATAATGATCACGAATTGTTCTTCTGGAAAGTTGAACATGTTAGCAACTGTTTTAAAATTATGTACTTTTGTTAGTGTTACATACAGATTTTGATCATGCTTTAGTGAATCTTGCAAGTAGATTAAGTATAATATGTCTTGTTTCTTGTAATCATTGGGTTGATTTCTTGTGTTTTGTATGTTCATTCATGCTTGAAAACTAGGCCAAGGTGTATGGATGGCTCGGATGGGAATACAGGAAGCCAGCGAGAGTTCCTCCTGCTTGTCCTTTCAAACCAACTGCCACCAAAGTAAGCCCAAATTATCTACTCAGCTTGATTCTTTCGTCCTTGAGTATTTTCCTAGTTGAAGCAGTTTAGCTGAGAGATGCTCTTAAGTTTCATGTTTTACACTCTTACGTTAGTATTTCAGTTCAACGATATGCTATGATTCAATGAAGTTACTTTACTATCTGTTGTGAATATTCACTTTTTTTTTTAACTGAACATATGGGTTGCTTTTGTGAATCTTAACACTTTTTGGTTACAGGTAGCTGCAGAAACAATAAGTGAAGGTACAGAAACAATAGCTAAACCCGAGGATACCGCTGGTGGGGTGAAGCAGGATTGAAGCTGAGATACCCTCCCTCCTTTAATAAAAGCTTTTTAACATTCTGTGGACATGTTCTGGATAAGTGAAGAACCTTTTGTGTGTGTTGTGTCATAATATTGTACGTTCAAAGTTTTGTTATGGTCATTGTTGTAAACAGATAATTTTCTTATGCCAGACTTGGAATTCCTCCGCTACTTTGGGATCACTCTATGTTGTTTAGCTAATTGCATTAAGGCATCTCATGTATTATTCTAAAAATTGTATAGTTATATAAATGGTAAGACTAATTGACCTTTTTATTACAAGTTTAGAAACACATAACACTAAACCAACCAATCTAAACAGAATTTCAATTTCCTCAAATAATAGTATACCCCTTGGTTTTCTTCAAAGGGTTTATTCTAACCTTTATCGTTACCTTAATTTTAGAAACTAAATGAAAGTAATAGCAAATATATTAATATCATGTTATTAAAAAAAACAAATATATTAATTAATATCGTCGTGTCTTCACTGTCTTAATTGATTTTGAATGAAACAAAAATAAAAAATCAATTGTTATTTCTGTTTCTCAATTAAAAAGATCCTTTCTCTCTCTCTCTCTCTCGAATTTGATCGCCGGAAAAATTCCGCTGTACAAAAAAAGCCGATCACTTATCTCTTCAATCAAATCCAAACGCTCTGGATTCTCCGAGTCTCAAAATCCATACTTGATCCAATCGAGACTTCCACTGAATCTCTCCACCTAGGGTTTACACATTAGTCTTTTGCGATGTTCAAGAAGATCATGAAAAGTGGGAGCCGAAAGGCCTCTCGAAACGACACCAACGATTTCGGATTCGATCCAAACCCCAACATGATCGTTAACCACGCATCTCGCCCTTCTCCTCTCCCTTCTTCTCACTCAACAACCAAACAACCACCACCTCCTATGCATTCAATCGAGCCTCTCCCCTTATTCAAAGACGTCCCCGCGCCCGAGCGCGAATCCCTCTTCCTCCGAAAACTCCAAATCTGCTCTTTCCACTTCGATTTCACCGACACCTTAACCAACGCTAGAGAGAAAGAGATAAAGCGCCAAACTTTACTCGAGCTAGTCGATTTCATCCAATCCGGAACCGCCAAAATCAACGAGCTCTGTCAAGAGGAGATGGTGAAAATGATCTCTCTGAATATCTTCCGGTGTCTCCCTCCCACCACGGGTCAAGACCCCGCGGATCCGGAGGAAGACGAGCCTTACTTGGAACCCAATTGGCCTCATTTGCAACTTGTCTACGAGCTTTTGATTAGATACGTTGTTCCTTCCGACACAGACACCAAAGTTGCGAAACGGTTTATTGATCATGCGTTTGTGTTTAAGCTGCTTGAGTTGTTTGAGACTGAGGATCCGAGGGAGAGAGAGTATTTGAAGACGATTCTTCATAGGATTTACGGGAAGTTTATGGTTCATAGGCCGTTTATTAGGAAAGGGATTAACAATATATTCTATAGGTTTGTTTATGAGACGGAGAGGCATAGTGGGATTGGGGAGCTTTTGGAGATTTTGGGGAGTATTATTAATGGGTTTGCTTTGCCGATGAAGGAGGAGCATAAGCTGTTTTTGATTAGGGCGTTGATACCGTTGCATAAGCCTAAACCTATTGCTTTGTATCATCAGCAGTTGGCTTATTGTGTTGTTCAGTTTGTGGAGAAAGATTATAGGCTTGCGGATACGGTGATTAGAGGGTTGTTGAAGTTTTGGCCGGTTACTAACTGTATGAAGGAGGTTTTGTTTCTTGGGGAGCTTGAAGAGGTTCTTGAGGCTACGCAACCTGTTGAGTTCCAGAGATGTATGGTTCCTCTGTTCCAGCAGGTTGCTCGGTGCCTTAATAGCTCTCATTTTCAGGTTAGTAATCTCCTGTTACTTGGTTTCTCATTTCAACCTGTTCATCATCCAAAGCTTCTTGTACCAAAAGAACGAACTATGTTGTGTGGTAGTTTTGCATATTGAGGCAAAGATCTAGGCAAGCTTTTAGTCCTGGACCCTTTGTTATTCAGCTTCTTGTACCAAAGAACTATGTCATATGTTATGGAATGTTATAGAGTATATTTAACTTGAGTTGTTACACCATGTGTGGTACGGTTATGTTATGTGGTAATTCGTGTGTTATGGTATTTTTTGCTCTGTTTCTATTATTTTTTTATCTACCTTGCTCACATACATGACTCCCCATGTAATGCAGGTTGCAGAACGATCTCTGTTCTTGTGGAACAACGAGCACATTGTGGTTCTAATCGCTCAGAACAGAAGTGTAATACTTCCCATCATATTCGCTTCCCTGGAGAAAAACACAGAGTCTCATTGGAACCAAGCGGTTCACGGTCTAAGCTCAAATATAAAGAGAATGTTCATGGAGATGGACCCTGAGCTCTTTGAAGAATGTGAGCAAGAGTATGAAGAGAAACAAGCTAAATCGAAAGAAGTGGAAGAGCAGCGCCAAAGTAGGTGGAGGAGATTAGATGAAGCAGTGGAAGAGCGTGAAAGAGTAGGAGAAGAAGATCATATGATCACTTCTTAGGAAAAAAAAAACACCAAATCAACTAATAATATATTCTTTTTTTCACTTTCTCTTCATCTATCTAAAGCATATTACAGTTATTAATATATTTTATTTCTTGTTGTAACTTTGGCTGTCTATAACGGTCAGTGCATTTTTGTAGTGCTAATTCTTATTGTCTAATAAAATTATGAAATTGTGGTTACTGTATATGCATAAACAGTTAAACTACATGATTGATGGAACTAAGATTTAGCAGTACTACCTAACGAGCTTATGAAGATTTTTTTTTTTTTTTTTTGAAGATGTATTTGAAGATTAGGCAATATCATTTTATAAATAATCAGTATTTAATTAATTAGTATACTCCTATTGTGATAAGGGTGAGAGGTGTCTAGAAAATGATAGCGTCTCGCTTTGCATGATGTTAATTTGTGTTTCTGTCACTCCAGTTCATGATATTTTTTAACAAAAGCGAGAATGAATCATACGACGTTTTGTATCACGTTTCGTTTACTAGAACTGTAAAACATGACTCAAATTGTGTTTTGTAACATTTTCTTACAAACACAAATTGAGTAGGTTTAGACCCAACATGACCTGTATATGCCTCTACACTAGCCCCTAGATGATCCTTGCAACCACTACACAACGGTTTGTGAAAAAGTCTTCGCTATAAAAGGTTTGTTAAGATGATGACGATGAATGATCGATGATTATAGTTAAAAAAGAGTATATGCTTTGCTTAGGGTGAGTAGTGAAGCTAGCTAGTTGGCAAGTAATGGCTTCTTTTGGCGGCCAAGCAATTCTCTCTCTCTCTCTATCTCTTTCACACACAATCCTCTACGCCAAAACTTATATAAATTCCTTTTAAATTCTATTATTAATTATTGAAAATATGATTTATAAAAAAAGTATGATACTAGCTTCACAATACACTCAATAATATTATTCTTAGTAATCTAATATATGTTAGTGACACGTTATCATATAATAATCATAGAGCCAAAGACAACTAATTATGTAGGGTTGGAAGAGTAGAAGTTGGATATCAATCCAGCTCTGATAAACTCATTATTTTCTCTTACTTTTTGTGGAAATTATAATGAAGCTTTTTCTCCAACAGATTACTGCCACCAAGTTAGTCTTATACTACAAGACCCTATAAAACAATATAACTAAATATTTTAAAAAATATCAAGAAACTAAGGTAAGAGAGGTTAATTCACTGAATGCATATTATTAGCTAATCATAAGATTAATAATGGGTTAGTCAAATAATTAGGTGTTAAATAATTAGTATATCTTAGAAAGAGGCGCAAACATAGGGAGTGATCTTATATTTTTTAATATGTCACTACTAATATCATTATACTTTAATAGCTTATGATCATGATTCATAGTTGTGTTGTGTAATTATGGGTTGGCTCAACTGCACATGAACTACTCAAACCCAAAATTCGATTGCCTTTTACTTTCCAAATGATTAGCTCAATTAATTGATCAGGTAGTTAAGTTCAGTGTACATAATCCACAATGATTAGTAATGCTTTGATAGAAACTCAGAAGTGGAATGGTATTTCAAAGTTAAGTCATATGTATAAACATTTTAGTAGGTTAAGTATATCATATTTGGATTAAAATGCTAGATGTTATTTATTTTACGTGTACTACGTGTTGCTAGTTAACTGTTGTATTTATGGATAAAACGATTAAAGATGGAGTGTATATGATAATGTAGATTAGAAAACATAGTTATAATGCCTGGCAAATGGAGAAAATGCAATATAATATTATATTTCTCTCTTGATATAATATTTAAATGTTGCCAAGTGTCAAAATTGCAGTTTGTTTTTAGAATTTGTTCAGTCAAATAGAATGACACTATTGTAACAGAAAAAGAAAGTCTAAATAACTTATACATGCATACACATGTCAAAGTAAATCATGCTCGTGAAAAAATACTTCAAGTCAATTTGATTTAGTCATAAATTACTAAGATAAGTGCTGACACTGAATCCAATTTCTTATTACTATCTAGTAGTATCAAGATATGGAAATTATAAGAATCAAATTTTCATGAGTGATTAAATTTAATAAAAACAATTAAATTTGATTTGATCCATAAGACAAGCAAAACAAAGTTAACCAAATAAAGAGGAAACTAGTTTAAATAATTTAAAGGAAAAAAACAAGAGGAGAGAAACAAGTGGTTCCAGGCTTGCAAACCAAAACTTCCAGAAAGGAATCCTTCACCAAAAGTTATTTGTGGTTTGCTTCTTTTCTCATCCTTTCTCTTACCTTTCATTACATATATACTCTCTCCATATATATATACAAGAGTACTGCGTGTATAATCACAATTCACAAATATATATATATATAGATAAGATACTAATACATATAAACCAAACCCACCAAACATTCTTTGATACTTTTCTCCATAAATACATAACTATACCTCTCTTGTGTTCTTGCAACAGAACCAAATTCAAAAAACGGAGGATCATGACAAGTTTTCACGAGGAGACACGTCTAGTACTCCTCACCAAGGGGAAACGAACCAAACGTCCTCGATCCGCGTCTCCTCATATGAACAATATAGAAGCAGTGTCCGGCGTTTTCAGCGAGGATCGATCAATAGAAGCAAAAGAAGAAGGAGCTGGTGAAGTTGACTTCCAGGGAGCTACGGAGGAAGACCAAGACATGGCGAGTTGTCTGATGTTATTGTCGCAAGGACATAAACCAAAGAGTAGTGGAGATCATTCGTCGACGCAGAAGATTAGTTTCTTGAGTAACAAGAAACCGGTGGCTTCTCTAGGTTTAGGGCTAGATTGTGTTTACCAGTGCAAAACGTGTGATAAAAGCTTCCACTCGTTTCAAGCACTAGGAGGACACAGGGCTAGCCATAAGAAGCCCAAACGCGACGAGAAGAACGCTGCGTCTGCGGTTGAAACGGTGGATTCGGCAGAAGCTGTAGGAAGCTTTCTTTCTCTGCAAGTAACTAGCAGTGATTGTAGCAAGAAATCGGAGAAAACACATGAATGTTCGATCTGCAAAGCTGAGTTCTCGTCAGGACAAGCTTTAGGAGGTCATATGAGGAGACATAGAGGTTTAACCGCAAACGCAAACGCTACTTCAATTACCAAAACCGTTGTATCATCAAGCCATCATCAAGAATCTATACGTCCAAAGAATCCTCTGGAGTTGGATCTGAATCTTCCAGCGCCAGAAGATGAACCAAAATACGTGTTTGCGTCCAGAGATCAGATGCTTCTCTTTGCAGCTGCGTCCAATTGTTTGATTGATTGTCATCACTAATTAAGTAGTTCTTGTAATTACTTGTGTGTTACCTTGACATGTTAATCATTAACCCTCCTCTTATTATTGATTCTTGTAATTTGACATTGATTTAATTAACTTCAAATGAATTCATTCTTTAACATTACTATTTATCGTTCCATATACTGTTTTGCTTGATTGTCGTAAGAGAACCATGATTAGCGCATTTTCATTAATAATCATCAATATATCTATATATATAAAGTAGACTTTTATCCCTCCTTAAGGTGCCATGTCACTAAATAGAGAAAAGAAATAGTGACACGTGTAAAATTTGCTTCTAATTGATGTTTTTATGGGCTTGGACGATTAGGTAATCTATACGGATTTGTGCGCTGAAAATTATGACAATACAGGCCCATCTTGCTATTTAATCAGGAACGCATCTTCTTCGTGATGAATTCTACCGACAATGGCAGAGGCATGTGACTCGACGTTTTAAGAGTAATCTTCCCGTCGTAACCTATTCATGTCGTTTTAGTCTTCACCTTTGGAAACGTTACAATTTTCATTCATTCGGCATCGTAAACCAAAACTCAATTCTCCTCCCCACTACATCCACTATTTCAAATTCAATGAATCTGATCCATCTCCTAGCAGCGGATCAATGTTCTCTGTCAGCGGATTTGATGTACTTCAGACTCTCAAACTCTCCTCTAGCAATTCACTGTGTTTCTGAGGTGTGTTGTTGTATATTAGGATTATGAGCGACATACTTTGACTTGGCTCTGCTCATTGAAAGGTAAAAAAGTTTCAAACTTTAATCCAACGAGTGTTGTTTTCATTCAGGTGATCAAATATAAGCTCTCAATAATGTTTTCATTCACATGGTGTTATGATAACAGTAAGCAAACCAGATGGAGGAGGTGGCGAAATTGATCAACGGGAGGAGATTGACTTTGGGAGTTAAAGACACAAGCATAGCAAGCCAGTATTTTTAAAGGTCAAGTTTTGGTGACAACATTTAAAAGCCCCTTTGTTTGCCAATTTGTTTTATAATTAGATGCATTGTTGGGTTGTTTCTTAACTTTTTAATTTGCTGTTGTATAATTTTATCAGACCAAGAATCTAGCTCACTTTGAACAAGCCAAGCTATTGACCACTGTCACTCCTCCTGCAATGAACTTTGAAACATGCGACAAGAAAGACCTAAAACTTTAAGAACGAATAACTACAATTTAAACTGGGAAAAAAACAGCAAAGTAAACACTCCCACATAAAGTATGTATGGAGATACTTTTATGTCTTCTTTTTGGTTTAGTCATTTATGCCAACACACCTGATAGCCTGTCAAGACTCCTAGACTCAGTTCAGCCGAGAAGTATCATCACTGGTACTACATTTTCTTCGCTTTAAAGAATCCTTAACCGTTCCTATGGTCTTTATACGTTTGATCATCTGATTATTCTAAGGTGTTATTTTTTTATTAAAGTTATTGGCTGTGTGTGAGAGGATGAGAGAGGGAAAAGACCGGTTATGACGAAAAAAGCTACTGGAAAGAGTGATGTTACAATATTGACATCAACCCAGGGAATGAAGATCCATGTAAGTAACTCTGAGATTAGGTCGAGTCTATAAGCCTTGAGTGTGTCCCGAGGTCTATTAACCGGTAGAAAACTCTTTCAATGTGGTTATAGTGGACATATTGGATGACATGTTAGCTGGGATTGCGTGGACGAGTATTTTAAACACGGCGGACATGATTATACCATTCTCCCTTGGCAAATGGTCAAAGAATCATGTGTATTTCTCTTTATGTGTGACAAGAGATGTAAAAGGATATTAAAGGCTGTTACCTTAAAGTTCAAAATCTCGATATATATTCAAAGGATAGATAATATTGTATTTGTATACAATTTTTTGTTTAATTTATGCATATAAAAATATAAGAATATATTTTGTTTATTAATTCTGGTTTAGCATGGTCACACTATACTGGCAATAAAAACAATATTATTTTGTTAATTAAATTCGGTTTAGACTAATGATCAACTCAAACATGTATAATGACCTACATGATGTCTTTTTTTTTTTTTTGAACACACCTACATGATGTCTTGCTAACTACAATTTGGAGGCTCCTGATTACACTAGAGAAATAAAAAAAAAAGTATTTGTCTTGGACCAAAAAAATGTATTCTTCATAACAACACCAAAAATAACATAACATGTTTCTACATAGGTTACATAGCAGTCGAATAATTATATGACAATGCTATTTACCTACATAGTCTAATAATATTATGTAGAAGAGAGTCCGAATCAGTCAACCAATGTTGGATAAACATAGATAGAATGTAGACAAACAAACGTTAACAGACTTTAATGTGATTTGAAACTAAACAAAACAAACATTAACAAACTTTAATGTTATTAAGAAATTTATAAGAGTATAAAATAAATGATTATAAGTCATTGGTGAAACTTTGGAAACCGATACAATACATGATAATACTATAAGTAAATGATAAAAAAAAATTATTTTTGCTAAATATGTTAGCTTATAGTTTTTTTTTTTTTTGCTAAATATGGTAGCTTATAGTTATTTTATTTGAACACTGTTAGCTTATAGTTAGGGAGTACTATTTTGAAATCAAAGTTACTGAATTTAGCCAAAAGAATCATACAAAAACTGGTCTGAACCAAAGATAAATGCAATTCCATAAATTTAGAAACAATTTTTAAAAGTATATTTGACAAAATATCCTAATTTAAGATTCAAAGAAACATGTATAATTTTAAATAGTAATGATCACAATTAAATTTTTATGTAATCTACCTAGATTAAATATATATTCAGTTTGAGAAGGATCAAACTTCGCACTACTTATTACTTATAATTTCACAAAACACATCGAGCAATTTAAAAAAAAACTAATTCTAACTACTGCTATAGTTAAACTAAAACAAATACTAAAATAAAGCCAAATAATAATCTTCTATAACATTTAATATTTAAATAATTTTACAATTTTTAAACTAAATATTCAAATAAATGGATATTTTTTTCAATAAAACATGAAAACTAATTTTAATTCCCGTTGAAAATAAATTTAAAAATTTAAAGCTATTTATATTAATTGTTCATTTGTTAATCCGCCCGTAGGGCGGGCCTGTCCTAGTATGTATATATAGTATACAGTTAATACTTAACTTTGGGAGAATGATTAAAGATGCTGAGGTTGTTCCTTGTAGAGTGGAACAAGCATGTGACGATGACTTACATATAAAGTCATCTCGTTTGCTAGCCGCCACCCGCCACTAACCCCCTTTCGTTACACTTCACTTCCGTTTCGGTTGTTCGTTTTCTTTCAGATTCTTAATACAGATTTATTTCATTTTAGATTAAATAATACTATGTTTGACAAAAAAAAAGATTAAATAATATTATATCATTTCACAAGAGGGAGTCTGGAGTAATAAAAAAAAACTCCTTAAGGCGTGTTTAGAGTGTCAGCGTAGAAATAGTGAAATACATGCATCTACTTCATCCCCAACAGAAAAATCTTCAATTACTACGCCAAAATCATGATCGAAGTTCATAACAAATATCAAAAGTGTTTTATAAAATATCAGAACGTGGCAACATTTTCATTTACCGATTGAGAAATGAATTATGTCCAATATCGTCATGCAAATAACATCTGTGTCGTCTTAATCTTCAGTAAAAAAAAAAAAACAACTGTCAATAGACTCGATAAGTTAAGTGAAAAAATAATATAGGTTTTTCTAATGGTTTACGTACGTCCAGTAATTTACCTATTGATAAATAATGAGAAATATTTTTTTTTATTTTAAAAAAGCTTGAAATACATTATTTCTTGTGCACACAAAAAAAGAGAAATACGTTATTTTCAATATCACATACGTTACGCATATGCATCAAGTTTTTTTTTTGTAACTATATATGTATATCTATTGAGAAATAATGGTTTACGTCCAGTAATTTACCTATTGAGAAATATTATTATTCTTTTTTTTAAAGCTTGAAATACATTATTTTTATTTTATTTTATTTTTTTTTATTGATAACTCAGGTGTCCGGGGCTTATTTAGAGACTCGACTATCCCCCGAAGGAGTCCTGAAAGCCGAACGGAAACCATGTTAAATCCGCTGTGGCCGGGGCTCGAACTCGTGATGGCGGGCACCTCAGCCGAGATTCCTTTACCACCAGACCACGAGGTCCGGTTACTACATTATTTCTTGTGCACACAGAAAAGAGAAATACATTATTTCCAATATCATACGTTACGCATATGCATCAAGTTTTTTTTTGTAACTATATATGTATCAAAAGTTTGAACATAATAATAGTATATATATTATGAAAGAAGATATGATAGCTCAATAAATTAATGTTAAAAATGATTTCTTACAAGTTTTTTACCTTTTCAATTTCAAAGACATACATAATGGAACATGTTCTAGAAATAGGGGCTGATACTACGCTACGTTACGTATCATTTCTAGTCTAGTGGCATCTCTATATCGATCATATTAATTATGCCTTTTATAGTGTCGTCATATACGAGTCACGTATATATTCGCTTTTGCTAAAATGACACATCTACATTTCTCTTTTGGTAAATATAAACGTGAATCACATGATACATGAGTAATTAAGTACATGGTATTATCAACGGAAACAAGTGAATATTCCTAACATTTCAAAAGGATAATTTAAATTTTAAAGGACAAATCTCCAAAAAACACATTTCTAAGTTTATGTCATAAAAATAGCCCTTAAAAATTAAAATGACCATAATAGCAGTTTATCTTTTGAAATTTTTTTAAAAAAATTAATTTTTCAAAAATTAAAATCTTATTCCCAACACTCCAGTTCCCAACTCTAAACCATAAAACCTAAATTCTAAACCCTAAACCATAAACTCTAAACTTTAAATCCTAAATCCTAAATCTCACCCCTTAACTCTAAATCCTAATGTCTAAATTAATTTATTATTGGAATATATGTGTATATTTATCTATTTTGATAAAATATTAAGTGCATTTTGTCATTTTTATTCTTAAGTGCTATATTTGTGACCAAAAAAATTTTAGTGTTAATTTAGTCATTTTCTCTAACTTA